TTTTTAGTGGGAGAGCGAAGCACATCTCGATAAGAAAACAGAAAAACTACGTAAAAAAGATTACGTGCGGGGTCGGTGGGAGGTTTTCCTTTTTTTAAAGATAGATCTAACGATCCACCGATTTAAATAAAAATCAATGGTTAGATTTCTCTATTTTATTAAAGTGTCATGTAGTATTTATAGGGTGGCATGTGACGATTTGAGAGTGTTTGTAGGAAGTTTAATGGACTTTTAGTATATAATAGATTGAAGATAGATAGATAGATGGCTGTAGTTGCCTCCAAATCACTGGTCAAAGAACAAACAGGAAATACAGATAGTGCAGAGTGCATAGACCTCTAATGATTTACTGCAAGCTCTAATTAAGTCGTAGCTGCATAGCATTAGCAGTTTAAACGGCTTATAAAAATTAATTTATACGTAAAACTTTAATATATTTGGTCGCAACGACTTCAAAGTCAATGTAAAAAATTACGTTCAAAATATCACAAAATTAACTTCGAAACCGAGTTTGAAAATTCAAATTTTAACTTTTGATTTAAGTTATTAGGTTGACCGATGGGGCTGTTAGCACGCCAAGTTGCCAAGTCTACGTCTGTCGTTTTGTCTTGTGCGTCGACGCACCCGAGCCGCCGCTTTTGACGAATTGCTTGACCTGTGCAGCGTCGACGCCCCTCTACTTTTCTTTTATACCCAGCCGTATACGTACGTAGAGAGGAAGCAAGGCAACGCCCCCTCTACTTGTCTTGTCCATCTCCAATCTCAGTCCATTGCGTTCCAAGGAGCTGATTGGATCGACGGGAAGCCGGAAACTTTGGCTCCACAGTGGATTAATTCGTCACCGCCCTATTAATTCCACTTCCCTGGTAAACTTCTCGACTAACTTAAACATTTGTACCGTGCCTTTGCTGCATCAAGTTCTACAATTACGCAGGATATATTGAAGTCCTCTATTCAGCGATAATTAGCATAGTGAAGTGTTAGCGTCGCCGTGGTTGGCACGCCGGAACCCCTGCCCTGCCGGCCTATGTTTTCACCGCGCGTTGCACATGCATGCGCTGAGCTCTCAGTCTTTGCCGCCTCGGCCCTGACCGAAACAATATGGCTTGCGGTTTGAGGCTCGGAATTGCGATATGGCTTCACAGTCGTCGTCTTGGCTTTTCTCTTGCCCTATTCCAACTACCTTCAATCTTAGGTCCCATTTTTTCTCCAACAAAAGTTGGATGAAGATTAAGATTTCTGTGGCACGCTTTTCAAACTGTTAAACGGTGCGTTTCGTGCGAAAACTTTCTATATAAAAGTTACTTTAAAATATCATATTAATCTATTTTTTTAAGTTTGTAATAATTCAAACTCAATCAATCATACATTAATACCACCTCGTTTTGCGTGAAAAACATAATCTTTATTTTCAGAAGAAAAGAACGCCACCTAGTTTGAGATTTGCTAAAAGGACAACTAAACTGGAAATGAAAGCTAATTTGTTGCTGACTCTACCATTTTATTGTCCCATGCCAGTCCAGCTCGTGCAGCCACGCCCCCTACTGGTTAGTGCTAATTAGTGTTAATGATATTTATTAGTGCTAATGATAATTTTAGTTTTATTTTTTTAACAAAAATACATAAACAAAATTTTTAGCTCAGAATTGAAAACCTTCAAGTCGAGATTTGAAATTTTTAATTCTTTTTTTTTTTGAAAATTTTTAACTTAGATTTGAAAATTTTCATGTCAAGATTTAAAAACATTCAACTTAGATTTAAAAGCTTTCAATTTGAATTTGAAAACTTTCAACTTAGGATTTGAAACTTTTAACTCGGATTTAAAAACTTTCAATTTAGACTTGAAAACTTTCAACTCGGATTTGAAACATTCAACTCAGATTTGAAAACTTTCAAGTCAACTTTAAACATTCAACTCGGATTTGAAAACTTTTAATTAAGACTTGAAAACTTTCAACTCGGATTCGAAAACTTTCAACTGAAAATTTGAAACATTCAACTCAAATTTTTAAAAAATTCAAGTCAAGATTTGAAAATTTTTAACTCAAATTTTAAAACTTTCACCTCAAAATTCAAAATATTTGATTTAAATTTGAAAACTTTCGTCTCAAAATTCAAAACATTCAACTTAAATTTAAAAAAGTTTCAACTCAAATTCAAAACTCTCAACTGATATTGAAGTGAAAGATTCAATTCATAAAATATCGCAAAAAAATCACGCGCATGTTTGGATGAACGAAGCGATTTCCGAAAAAAAACTAGTTGAATTTTATAACTGATTATTGCACTTCCATACTACTTTGGGGATGTGAAACTAATATAACTTTTCGAGAAAGAAAAAGCCAAATCTAACTCATCTTATTCTTGCTTCATAATATATTTACAATATTGTGGAAGCAAATGTCATTATTGAGCCTCAAGCACAATAAACTTGATCCGGAGATCAAATCTAACATGTTAATAAAAATTTGAAGACATACTGAACTGCTGAAATGCTGGGTTGAGCCCAACATAGTTGTGTTCGGTGGGCTGGGTTGGGAACCCATGTACTGCGCACGAAAAACGGAGTAGTCTATTAGCACGCGATTAATTAAGTATTAGCTATTTTTTTTAAAAAATAGATCATTATGATTTTTTAAGTAACTTTCATATATAAACTTTTTTAATAAAATACGTCGTTTAACAGTTTGATAATCGTGCGAGTGGAAAACAAGGGGGATATGAGTTGGGGAAAACTGGGGAAGAACACAGCCAGTCATGGGGCAAAAACTGATAATTGCCGGTCTTAACAGCAGGTCTTAAAAGCAGCTCTGATCCCCAACTTTCGGTATATAAACAGCAAAACTCAAAAGTCTAATGCATCGATTTGCTTAAGATAAACATATTTCTAGTAGTTTTGTTGTTTTCCAGCTACTTTATAATAAGAACTTTTGTAGTAAAATAAAGGAGAAATAGTGCATAATTTTGAGTAAAGATGGGAATGGCTATGCCAAGTGCCCACGTGCACTTTGATCAGGCCCACTGGCCACCCCCTAAATCCAAGTTGCTCGCTCCCTCGAGTTGAAGACCCAACTGAGTAGTGGTCTGGCCGGCCCAACAATGGTGCTAGGCGGGTGGCCTAGCTAAGGAATAAGTTCACCGTGGGTCCCTTAATTTAATAGCAAGATTTTTTTAGGTCCCTCAACCATAAAATCAGAAATGTTCACCTCTAAATTTACTCAAACCATGCAAAAGAGGTCCCATGGCAGTATTTGCGTCAAAAAAAACCGTACAACAGGATGCCACGTTAGTAAAAACGGGTGCAAATACTGCCATGGGACCTCCTTTGCACGGTTTAAGTAAGTTTAGTGGTGAACATTTCTGATTTTGTAGTTGAGGGACCTTAAAAAATCTCGCTGTTAAATGGAGGTAACTCCGGTGAACTTATTCCCCTAGCTAATCACTGCAGTAAGGTCTGGTCAATCGCTCCTCGTCCAAATTGTCAACCGCTCGTCCGTTGGAGGGATTAACCTCAATAGTAGAGCTGTAGAGGACTGGTTATTAGCCATTCACATGCGGAAATGCTCTTCGGCTGGAGATGGGGCAGCGATCGATCCCCCCCTCCCTTCGTCTATCTGATTTTCTTTTTTGGCACCGTATTATTTTCCTATTTTAGTAAATTTATACACCTAAAGTTTATACACCTTAAGTTTACACATCTAAAGTTTAGAGACCAAAAGTTTATATAACCGATTCAAATTTGAATTTGAATTCAAATATTTTTTATATATAGTATTTCTATACATCTAAAGTTTATAGACCTAAAGTTTATAAGTCAAAAGTTTATATACCCGTTTCAAATTTGAATTTGAATTATATCTGATTCAAATTTGAATTTGAATTCAAATATTTTCTGTATATAGTATTTCTATACATCTAAAGTTTATACCCCTAAAGTTTATATATCCAAAGTTTATAAGTCAAAAGTTTACATACCCGATTCAAATTTGAATTTGAATTCAAATATTTTTTATATATAGTATTTCTATATATCTAAAGTTTATACACCTAAAGTTTATAGACCCAAAGTTTATAAGTCAAAAGTTTACATACCCAATTCAAATTTGAATTTGAATTCAAATTTTTTATATATAGTATTTCTATACATAAATTTTTCTAACTTTTGTTTTTTTTTAAAAAAAAATTGTTTGGTGTACTGTAGTAGAAAGAGAAGAAGAGGAGGAGGAAGGGGGAGAAGAGGGAGGAGTATAGGAGGAGGGGGGCCAAACCGATCGCTGGGCGATCGCCCTGGCGATCGGTCGCCCATTAGCCTCCCCCATTCATATGGCCGCACGGCCCCACCCGTGGGTTCCCTCTCAAGTTTAAGCACAACAGAGGCCTTGTTTAGTTCCTAAAATTTTTTTCCCAAAAACATCACATCGAATATTTAAATACATGCATGTAGCATTAAATATAGATAAAATGAAAAACTAATTGTGCAGTTTGTATGAAAAATGCGAGACGAATCTTTTAAGCTAATTAGTTCATGATTAGCCATAAGTGTTACAGTAACCCACATGTGCTAATGACGGATTAACTAGGCTTAATAAATTCGTCTCGTGGTTTCCAGGTGATGAGTTTGAAATTAGTTTTTTTATTCGTGTCCAAGAAAACCCTTTTGACATCCGGTCAAACGTTCGACGTGACACCCAAAAAATTTTTTTCGCAAACTAAACAAGGCCAGAAAAGAGTCATTTCAGTCAAAGCGGTCAGCCACTCGGCCTTTGATCCACTCTTTCATCCACTCAAGGTTCTATTCCTCATTTAGGAAAATCGAACTCAGGTCCGCTAACTCTAGCCAGTAGAATATGAGTAATACTCCCTCCGTTTCAAAATATTTGACACCGTTGACTTTTTGACCGTTCGTCTTATTCAAAAAAATTTGTGAAATATGTAAAACTATATGTGTACATGAAAGTATATTTAAGAATGAATCAAATGATATAAAAAGAATAAATAATTAGTTAAATTTTTTTAATAAGACGAATGGTCAAACACGTACTAAAAAGTCAACGGTGTCAAACATTGTGAAACGGAGGGATTAGTAGGGAGGAGGGTTCGAATTGACTTCACGAGTTTGTGACAGGTATGTATTGTTTCCGATTTCATACATTGCTATCAATATCGATGTATCAGTCAATTTTCTTGTTTACGTCTTACCAATTTATTTTCCGCATTTACTCTTTTTTCTCAAACTGTCATATCGTTGCCGACATTTTATACTAAGTTTTAAGAAGATGTCCCATTTTAAGGAGTAAACGGGACTAAACCTTACAATGCCACTTTGGCTCCACAGTGGATTAATTCGTCACCGCCCTATTAATTCCACTTCCTTGGTAAGTTTCTCGACTAACTTAAACATTTGTACCGTGCCGTTAGCTGCACCAAGTTCTACAATTACGCAGGATATATTGAAGTCCTCTATTCAGCGATAATTAGCATAGTGAAGTGTTAGCGTCGCCGTGGTTGGCACGCCGGAACCCTTGCCCTGCCGGCCTATGTTTTCACCGCGCGTTGCACATGCATGCGCTGAGCTCTCAGTCCTTGCCGCCTCGGCCCTGACCGAAACAATATGGCTTGTGGTTTGCGGCACGGAATCGCGATATGGCTTCACAGTCGTCTTTGGCCAATCTGAGTAATCTCCAGCCACATACGCGGATTACAACTCCACCCTTTGTACGCCAGATTCAACTTTTCCCTTGCCCTATTCCAAGTTCCACCCATGCTCCCTAGCCCATAAGCCCGTAACTGCCTGGCCCGTTAGCGAGGAGAAGCGTTGGTGTTTGGAGCGCCGATGCCGCGGGGACGACGAGGAAAGGGGAGTGATAGGAGCGTGCGTGGATTATAGGATTTCTTGTAGAGAGACCTGCTCCCTCCCTCAGTTTTATATTACAAGTCGTTTTTATTTTTTCTTAAGTTAAACTCATTTAAATTTGTCCAAGATTATATAGATATGTAGTAATATTTATAACACCAAATTAGCTTCATTAAATCTAAATTAAATGTATTTTGATATTATGTTTGTTTTGGGGCAAAAATATTGCTACGTTTATCTATAAATTTAGTCAAACTTATAGAAATTTGATTAAAAAAAGGTCAAAACAACTTGTAAGAAAAAATAGTGCAAGTATAACATTTGCTAGAACGATAACTAAACTGAAAATGAAAGACTATATTACTAATTTGTTGCAGACTCCATTTTATAGTCCCATTGTTGGGTGTCCCTCATGTTCAATATTCTTTATTTAAGTTATCCCTTATATGTGTTTTTATAATTAATACAATTATCAATTCCCCATCGTATTATTGCACTTCCATACTACTTTGGGGATGCGAAATATAACTTTTCGAGAGAGAAAAAGCCAAATCTAATTCATCTTATTCTTGCTTCCAGAATATATTTACAATATTGTGGAAGCAAATGTTATTATTGAGCCTCAAGCACAATAAACTTGAACCGGAGATCAAATCTAACATGTTATTAAAAATTTGAAGATATACTGAACTGCTCGAATGCCGGATTGAGCCCGACGTAGTCATGAGGCAAAAACTGCTGGTTTGAGCCCAAAGCTGATTATTGCCGGTCTTAACAGCAGGTCTTAAAAGCAGCTCTGATCCCCAACTTTCGGTATATAAACAGCTAAACTCAAAAGTTTAATGCATCGATTTGCTTAAGATAAACGTATTTCTATTACTCACTCCGTCCCAAAATAGAAGTATTTTTGGATCCTGACATGGTCTCCGAGATGCTACTTTTACCAACAATATCTATATAAAAGTAAGATGTTTTAAATAAAAAGAGTTATATATTATGATAGTTTGTTTAATGATAAATCTAGTACCATCAATTTTACATGATTGATATTTTTATTTTTTAACTATTAGTGATCAAAGTAAAAAATGTTTGACTTGTCACTATGCTAAAAATGCGTATATTTTAGGACGGAAGAAGTAGTTTTGTTGTTTTCTAGCTACTACCTTCGTTTCATGTTATAAGACTTTCTAGCATTACCCACATTCATAGAGATATTAATGAATCTAGGTGTATATATATATATATATATATATATGAATGTGGACAACGCTAGAAAGTCTTATAGTATGAAACGGAGGAAGTGCTTTATAAGAACTCAGTAAAATAAAGGAGAAATAGAGCATAATTTTGAGTAAAGATGGGACCAGCTTGGCAAAGTGCCCACGTGCACTTTGATCAGGGCATCAGGCCCGCTGGCCACCCCCTAGATCCAAGTTGCCCGCTCCCGCAAGTTGAAGACCCAACAACCGACATAAGGGGGGCTGGCCGGCCCAACAATGGTGCTAGGCGGGTGGCCTAGCTAATCACTGCAACTAACTTGCACTTGCAGTCAGGTCTGGTCAATCCCTCGTCGTCCCAATTCTCAACCGCTCGTCCGTTGGAGGGATCAACCTCAATAGTAGAGGAGTCCTACCCCCGTGGACCATGGTTAGAGGAGTTCTACCCATTCACATGGCCGCACGGTCCCACCCCCGTGGGGTTTAAGCACAACAGAAAGGAGTCATTTCAGTCAAAGAGGTCAACCACTCGGCATTTGATCCAACAAAATTGGATAAACTTTTAAATAAAAATTACATGCTTTTCAAACTGTTAAATGGTACGTTTCATGTGAAAATTTTCTATATGGAAGTTGTTCTAAAATATCAGATTAATCTATTTTTTAAGTTTATAATAATTTAAACTCAATTAATCACACGTTATTACCACATCGTTTTTACGTAAAACCTTTAATCTTCATCTTCATCTTAATGAGATTCCAACACTACTTTTTATAACTCATTTAGGAAAATCGGACCCAGGTCCGCTAACTCTAGCTAGTAGAATATGAGTAATAGTAAGGAGGAGGGTTCGAATTGACTACGGGACTTTGTGACGTGTATGTATTGTTTCCGATTTCATACATTGCTATCAATATCGATATATATATATATATATATCAGTCAATTTTTTTTATATACCTATAGTGGTGTTTGAATCTTCTAAAAATAAAGATAAAGATAAAGATTAAGTGTTTCACGCAAAACGATGTGGTAATAACGTGTGATTAATTGATTTTTAATTATTATAAACTTAAAAAGTAGATTAATCTGATATTTTAAAGCAACTTTCATATAGAAAGTTTTCACACGAAACGTACCGTTTAGCAGTTTGAAAAGCATGTCACGGTATTCAAAATTTAATCCTCTCCTTACGTAAGAAACGAACAGGGTACGCCTTACCAATTTATTTTCTGCATTTAATTTTTTTTTCTCGAACGATCAAGTCATTGCTAAAGTTTTATATTAAGAAGGTGTCCCATTTTAAGGACCAAACTTTATAGTGCCCCGTTAATCAGGAAAAACTGAGCGAAAACCACAACTACAACAACACACCAACAGCTAATCTAATCTAAGCTAACATGACAAATTAAGCCTGACACAAGGTATCGGCCAAGCTTGTCATTGAGGTGACACATCAGCCCACACATGTTATCGTCGTTGAGCTTGCCACCCAAGCGACACGGCAACTTTGACTTCAGTGCGATGCTACCCAAATGCCAAAAAAATGAACAAACATAATCGATACCCACGAAGGACATTGGCCCATACTACCAAGGAATCACTTCCTACACACAGCTAGCATCAACAACCATATAAAGTGATTGCAGTGTGTCATCATTTTTAAGCTTCGTCGCACCCCAGCAGCTAAGCAGCTCTGACTCTACCCAGCAGTAACCAAATAAGAATGATGAACACCCGTCGTAGAGCAAGGAACGAAACCAAGGTAGCGAAGGCCTCGTCAAACACCCTAGGTTTGTAGAGCTTCAGAGGCATTGTAGGAGTCCACCATTAGCGACCGTTGCATGCGAAAGGTTCTTGGTGCTATGAGAGGTCAACGCTAGAACGACGCTTGCAAGAATTGGAATGATACCTAATGGCCTCGTCGTCGTCGTCATGCCGGCTAATGGCCTGGCAGGGCTTTTGCCAGTGATTCCCAACCAAAGACCCACACAAACATCATGCACAACGATCGTCACCGGACCACCACACCATCACTTCAGCGCCCAAGCCTCCTAATCCACGATAGTGGCCTATCACAGCGGTTGGCACCCGAGTGACCAAATTCGTCGCCAGCCGCCACCTCGCACACAACCAGCTACCACCTCACCTTGGCCTGCGGCCTCGCCCTCCTCCTTCACGCTCGTCCCACGCACGGCACGGACGACGACAACAACGATGTCGGGTCACGACTTCGCCCGCGCTTGCCAGATCTGTGGGTGCTTGGGGGAGGGGAGATCCGGCCATAGAGATGCCAGATTCGCCGCTTCAAGCCGACCCGCCGTCTCTTCCTCCGGCCCCGTCATCGTCGGCCTTACTCCAACCTCCTCGTGCTTGGGTCGGTTCCATCATGCCGCGTGGGCCTCACTGCCGCCTTCCCAACTCGTCGCCAGCGAGCTCCAGCGCCGACGGCAATGTGGAGGAGGAGATAAGGGTGTAGCGGTGTGGGCAGCTAGGGTTCTGCCCCCGATCTGCCCGCACGAGAGCGATGTGGGGGCCCTTCTGCATTTACTTGTCGGAATTAATTTCATGCACAATAATATCTGATGGTTGTTTCGGCCAATCGGTTGTTCTATGTTTAGTCTTGATGCTCTTATTTTCATCAAGAGGGCAATACTAGGATAAGTCATAGTGTGGTGCCTAATTGCTGTTTTAGGAAGAAAAGCAGGTTAGGAAACTAAGGACATAGTCAATTGAATGGATATCCGTATTCGTCCTTCGAGGGAAGATACACTAGCCCTAATTACGATGGTCTGTATTGGCTGGTCAGTCTTGATCCTCTTCTTATCCCATTTCCATAGTGAGTGCTCTTGTGCCCGAAGTAATCAAAGGTATATTAGTTGTCACTTTTTTTTTATCTCAAGGCATGTTTATAGATCCAAGGAATCGAGTACTCAACCTTAAACTTCCCTGATTAAGTCTCTCCTTATTGAGCTAGTTAGGTTGATACGGGAGGTGGCCCAACCTTCTCAGTGTAGGATGGAAAATACAATGAACCCAACGAAGCGGATGAACAACATGCAATCAACATAGCACACCTTTCAACTCACCATCAAAAAACTACGAATGCGGAAGCTAACTATCGAACCCTTCATCCCTAGTGGGAAAGCAAACAATAATGTTGATACAATCACCATGTTCCCCTTTATGTGGTTGTGCCAAATCATGGAAATATCATGCAACGAGACCCTCACATCCCTGTAACTCAAAGCTATTTTTTCTTTGTAATGTCAAGTCTCTACAATGGAAGTATACCTATTTCTTATATGGAAATTCTAAGACCTCTAAAATAATAAACAAGCTCATTACATAACTTGGACACAAAGAAAGAAAATCTGCTGCAGCGACCATTGGCTTTTTTAGTGGATTGCGGTTCAAACTTATAAACACGAGTAATCTGACTGTGGGACAAAAACCATGACGTGGTCCATCAAATTATCTTTCTAACAAGTATGCGAACAACTAAAATGGAGTCCGTATGCAAAATCCATGACCATTTTACTGTAAGACTGACCAGGCTGTCCAAACCAAATCGAGCTAAATATACAATTCTTCTTATCTTCAATTTTCTCCTTGCCAATGATTTGATCATCGAAACAATTGAACCCATGTAGATGAGTTACTTGCCAACTTATAGAGAATATTGTAATAGACGGGAACTATCTAATCATGCCATAGTTTAGCCCATCGGGCTCTTCGCACCAAATCGTTTGCGGTGCGGCGTTTTCAGGATCCAGGGAGTGTGTCTGAGCTTCTCGCTCAAGATTGTAATCATATTGTGTTGAATAAATAAAGCTCCCTGTTTTTTCGCAAAAAAAATGCCATAGAACCCACAAACTCCCCAAAGTTAGCTATTCTCACGCATCACTTTTCCAACACTTTTGATTGGACCATTCAAATCATGTGCCACTTAATCCATTGGAAAGTAGGCATGAAAAAATCCGTTGAAAGTAGGCATGAAAAACTTTCTTAATATGACCCTTGGATACATTGAATACATCTGTTTAGATATGCAACTCTTTAGAGAATTTATTGTCGATTGATACTGCACCATATCCTCATCACAGGTGTCCTTTCTTTTATCCTTGACCATAAAACTTCGATATATTTTCTCAGATAACCCCCACAAGAGGTTGGCTCGATTATCTTCCTTAGTAGGAAATGTAATTTGACGGTACATTTTGACCAAAAGTGTGTCCTTGTTGACGATACCCTGTGTTGTCGAATGACAACTGCGAGTGTCGAACGACGTGGTTCACTCATGGTGGAAAATAAAGACAATGTGTATATTAGTACTAACTTTTCTTGGGGATCTCCCCTTACATGCCCCTTAGGGTCTATTTATAGTCTTAATACAAGCTCATGCACACTAGGGTTAATAAGTACAAGGAAATTTACATGGATACTCATGATAGGGAGATCTATTGGGGTAACTAGAGTCCATTTTACTTTGGGCTCCTTAATGGGCCCTAACTTGGGCCGTCTGTGGCGAACGACCTTTCTAGGCCTCATGCCCTCCCGGCTTCACGGCGAAGACGCGCTCCTGACAGCGGTGAAGCTCTCATGCTTCGCTTGAACGTTTGCCCCAGGATGAATGCCGTGGTCCTCAACTAGTTGCTTCGCTTGAGCCGTAGTGGTTTCAGTAGCCTCGGTCGAAGGCCCTAGTGGCATGCCTCCAACACTATGTTTCTATTTGAAAATCTCATAAGAAAACATAAAAAGACCTTCCAGTTCGTCTTAGTTCACAGAATTATCATATCATTCTCAATTTTGGATTTGGTGCAGTTCGCATCAAGCTTTCTAAATATTTCACACATGAATCTAATAGATGTTATTATTTTACATGTGTATTCTATAACTCAATTTATTGTTATAGAGGAAACCAGTAAAGTTTAGTTCAACATTTTCCATTTCTTTTTTTTTACATATCATTTTGGTTTATAAAAAAGAATCCTACCTTTTCAGGAAAATGGCCAGGCAGATGCGACTACAACAGCTAAAAGACATCACAGGCAACTTCTCAAAAGAGCAGGAACTTGGTCGTGGTGGATTTGGAGTAGTCTACAAGGTATGATGAAGCGTTCTACCTTCCAGAGAGTAATCATATCTGTTTTTGAAGCTAACACTATGAAATATTTAGTTTGGGGGACGATTTTGTTCATGCAATGCATATGAATTGTTATATAGTCAATTTGTAATATAACTATTGTTAGTTTGAATCATTGGCCTACAAAATAAACATAGCTTTGATAATATATATATAACAGGGTCTGTATGTAGCTATAACCACATTGGAAATGTGGAAAACTAAGGCCCTGTTTGGGGGAGCTTCTAGCTGCTGCAGCTTCTCCCAGAATCAGAAGCTCCCCTAAACAGTTTAGCTTTTGGTTCAGATTCTAGGAAGCTGTAGCTGTAGAATCCAGAAAATGAACTAGAAGCCAGAAACTAGGAAACCCAGCTTTTCAAGATTCTCAGATGCTAGCTACCAACCAGTTGCTTCTCAAAATCTTAAGCTCGATCCCCCAAAATAGGCCCTAAGACAGCCAATGCTTAGATACTCTACACTTTTTTTCGGCATTTTTGAAAAGGAAAACGTCGATATCTCCCCTAAATGCAGTGATAAAATTCAGCATACAAACAATCCCCGCCCACACCCAAAAGAACGATTTTATAACCCTTTTTAGCACAGTGAAACCGTAAACGAATAGGTTGGACCAACTAGCTTGGACAATAAGCATTTTATCAGTCCTCGGTCTTATCTATAGTTTATTGCGATGATATCCTAGAACCATGTCGGTTCTTTTTGGATGTACATACTTAATGTGCATTGTCAAACAAAGGTTTCATTCAAAGTTTCCATCATCTTGCATGGTGTTTGCTCTTCAAAAATTTATGTCTGTAGTAATGAAATAATGTTAACAGGGTATTCTTAAAAATGGGGTATCCGTGGCTGTGAAGAGGCTTGAGGTCAATCCTGGAATACAGGACAAACAATTTAAGAACGAGGTTAATCATCTCCTAGGGCTAAAGCACCAAAACATAGTACAATTATTAGGCTACTGTGACGAACGACAAGAGAGATTGATATACGATGAGTACCAACGAAAATACATTTGTGCTGAGGTGCAAGAAAAGTTACTCTGTTACGAGTATATGCCAGAGGGAAGCCTTGATGAGATAATTTTTGGTAATATTTTCTATTCAGCATTTGTTTTTTCAACTGCTTATGTACGTAGTTGTTAGTTTTTTTTAAGAAAAACGGATAGGCTTTTATTATGTGCTTATTAAATGTTCATAAAAGTTTGTTCGCTCTACTTTTTCTTCATTCGCAGATCAATCGTGTGGTCTTGAATGGTGTGACTGTTATGCAATTATCAAAGGAATATGCAAGGGTCTGTGCTACCTTCATGAGGAATGCCAAAGAAAGCCTATTATTCATTTGGACCTAAAGCCGAGCAATATATTACTGGATGATAACTTGGTGCCAAAAATTGCTGATTTTGGCTTGTCAAGGCTCTTTGGTGAAGAACAAACACGAACTTGTACCACAATGGTTATACGATCAATATAGGTCAATTTCCTTTTCGGTATTTACATGTTCATTGCCTCTTTATTTTGTAATTCAATTAAGTACTGTCATATATAAAGTTTAAAAGCAAGGTATTCTTGTCGTTGTCATGCAGAGGTTATATGGCACCAGAGTACTACAGCGAAGGAGAAATCTCTTCAAAGTCAGATGTATATAGTTTCGGTATTCTAATCCTAGAAATCGTGACAGGAGAGAAAAACCAACGAAGCCGTGTGGATCCATCTGGCCAGCGCTATATTAGTACTGTATGCCCCTACTGCCTGCTGCCCTCTCTAAACAATTGAGGATTGTTTCTCAAAATATACTGTTAAGGATTTTCTTTGTGCAATTATTGTGATACTCACATGATAATTGTTTCGAATGATGATTACATGTAGGTACGGAACAAATGGTCAAGGATGTCGAAAATAATGTTACAGTCTTCATCCCTGGACGCAGATGGCTGCCAACAAGTTGATGATGTTTTAAAATTGGGCTAAATTGTGTGGACTTAGATCCACGTAGAAGACCCTTGGCAAGTCAAATAATTAATATGCTTCCATGGGAATGTAAGAAAAATGAAGGAATGCCATCAGAGCTTGTTCCAAAATCTTCAGACGGCAGCTGTACTAGTTCGGCGGTGACCAATTACGTAACACTTGTACAAGTAACACATGCTCATTTCTAATTAAATTATAGTACATATTTGGTACATATAACATATTCTGGTGCTTTTGTAAGATAGTCATAGGTATTATATGTGGAAACGGCTGGTGAGGTATTATGCCTAGTACCGATGCCTAAATATAGAGTAGTGGTGCGTACTCCCTCCTTCACATAATAATAATGGATTTTGGGTGGACGTGACACATCCTAGTACGCACAAAATCTCTTATATTATAGGACGGAGGGAGTAGATCACAAGTATCCAAACTAAAAAACCATATTGGTCATCTTTGTAACCTGTGAGCATTGTACCTAGTATCCATAGGATCAGGCTTGGGTGTCGTATCAGGCTACTAGTTGTATCATATGTGGAATCAACGGGGTATTATGTATGGTATATATAGATATGATAGGTATCATGTATGATACCTCAATCTCTCAATCCCAACCCCAGAATATGCTCCTTCCACTAACCTTCCCCTCGTTGTTCCCGCACCTGCGCTCGCCCTCATCTTCTCTTCTCTACCAAGCTGCTATGCTGCTTCTCAAGGATCATGCCCCCCCCAACGCCCCCCATCAAACTAAATCACAAATGCTATTGACCTGCTGAGTATGCACACGGAAAAAACTAACTTCGACACAAACTACTAACTAGCTAAATACGACTTGATATGGTGAAATATACAAATGATAATATTAAGTCTAACAGTAACTCTATCCCTCTGCCTCTACCTTTTCAGGCTTCTGCCGGTCTCTCTCTCTACCTATCATGACCTCCCTTCCATGCCCAAGCTTGTGCCAGACTGTCCCTCCACCTACCTCGACCTCCTGCCCTTGTCATAGCTCTTGCTGGTCTGTTCCTCCACCTATCTGAACCTCCTGCTCTCAATAATCAAGGAGGAGGAAAGCACAAATAGTTGGAAGGCAAGTTGACACCGCACTGCTGGGGAAGGGATCTTTACTCCCGGTTGGAAAACCTTTGTAGTCCCGGGACATCTTTAGTCCCAATTGAAATAACTGGGACTAAAGATGCATATCAAGTAAAAAAATGTGTGGGATGTGGGAGTCTAACTCAAGATCTCTCACCTCAACCCTCATACGCGTTACCATCCCACCTACTATACACATCTGACCTGGATAAAGATGCTTTCTTTTTACACTAACCCTAGAATCATCTTTAGCGAGACTAAAAATATCTTTAGTCCGGAGTGGTGTTGCCAACTGGGACTAAAGATCGTCACTTTAGTTCCGGTTGGTGTTTATCGTCGGGGCCTGACACGGCCTGATAGTTATTGAACCATGTCTAAAAATGACCTTACGGCTTTCAAACCCGGGCTTAAGATATTCTTGAGTCCCGGATCCTATTCAAACCGGGACATATGTGATTTTTGTCATCCGAGCAAAGATCAGTTCTCTAGTAGTGCCAGAGGACTTGGTGCTGCCGTTCATCACCTGTGTATAGTGGAGGTCAGGGAGTCGTGGGCAGAGGAGAAAAAGCCATTATACATATCAACAGTGGGAGGAGGAGCCTTCAGATCTGAATCACGAGGTTCATAAAGTGACATCCTTTGGATGGTGGACAGCTATTTTTAAAAACATACTTAATTTTGATGCATGATTTTCATTTTCTACCAAAAGAACTAAGTTCTATGAAAGTATACAAAGTGCTCAGAGCAAGACTTCGCTTTTTAATCTGAATCAAAGTAAGTAGGATCAAAGCATGGCAAACCATGGACATGTTTGGTTGGTGCCCTCAACAATATGCCTAATAAATTTGTGCGCCTGAGAGGTACTTGAGTGCTTGCCTAGCTGGTCAGGTAGCCAGAGAACGAACTTGTTGGGTTGGCTGCCCTGGCTTGAGAGAGAAACGGAAATTATGCTTCAAATGGTTACTTTTGATGGCCTGACGCATGTGTACATGGCAAGAAACAAATCTGAGCATAATTGTATCTCCTCTCGATGGGTTGCAACCTCTACGAGGGGGATTAGGATAATAACTGAAATGTGCTGCTATGCCTGGAGCTCAGGCTACCCTCTTTGGATGCCTGACTAAGGCTAAGGGGCTGTTTGGTTGGTAACCTGAGTGATATGCCTGAGAAAAAAGCGTGCCTGGGTGGAAGAAAATCAAAGAATAAAGTTGCCTGATGAGGCGTGCCTGTGCTTTTCTTGTTTGGTTGGAGTTCTACGGCTGAGGAAAACAGATTAAGCAAAACCGTGCTTAATTAGCACTGACATTTTGTTATAATATAGCTAATCCACTTAATTAGCAGTTATGCATGCATCCTTTGCAGGTACTGTCGCATCGACAAGTCAAACATGGCTTCCAAGCCATTCAAAGCTCTGACTACCTGCGGACAGGACACGTGCTACTCGCTAATCACATTCTTAGCTCACGCCTGGAGGTCAGGCCTCCTTTTTCGGTCGCCTGAGCCAGGCTAACCACGGTGCCGGACGGCTCAGGTCAGGCAGTAGACAAATGTCTCAGGGCATCAACCAAACACATTCCAGTTTTTCTCTGGCATATCTCAGGCCAGGCTGATCCTTGTCAGGGTAGCATCCAAACAGACCCTAAGCCCATGCCGGAAGATATCAGGTCAGGGGAGGATGCGCATCAGGGTAGCAACCAAACAACTATGTGCAATACTCACGCTTGTCTCAGACCAATTTCTCTCAGGGAAGCAACGAAATAGGTCTCCTATCTACCAAAGACTGGGTAAATAGCTAAAAAGGGTAATGGAAGCAAAAATATCAAATCTTGTGAAATAAAAATTACCAATACAATCGAGTTGAAATACAAAGCAAATAAAACTAGAACAATATAAAAGGAGAAAGAGATTTTCCACAGTCACCTTTATATGAAGATGATATTTATTGAAATCAAAGCAAATAAAACTAGAACAATACAAAGTTCATCCAAACCACTCATCTGTGACCACACGAACTAAAATCTAAATGAAAGAGCAAAAGTCTAATACCTTAACTTTTGTCTCCACAAATGTGTCTCAACTGCTGTCTCCCTCAAGTATTTACCCATAATGTATTCATTACCTAGTAGCCCCTATAGTGTTTATATACCATAATGTCCACCACCAAGTATGAGTTTGGAATCCCACTCAAAAAAAAAAGTATGAGTTAGGATTTCCGTACATTCTAATCCCTTTCAATCTTGCCTCATGTGGCTCCGTACAGTTTTGATATAGGACACGAGGTTACCGGTGCGAGGATGCACGAGCAACAACACGTGAATGGAGGGATTGGCTAGGTTAAGGAAATGGTCAGGGTCAAAAGGGACATTTCACCTGCTCCACACTAGTTCGCTTACATGTTTTGGCGCATGTTAAGAAACACTCTTTGCACTGAAATTTTTAAGAACAAATGTAGACGTATTTGGAGAGGGGCCACCAATATCAAATTTGTTAGAACAAATACGATGTTTTTAGTAGGTATAAAAATAAGAAAGTTTGACCTTTTATACTTTTTCCGCGACACACTCTATGGCATAGTACTAAATGAAAACAAGCTCTCTCTTCTCTCTCTGTACATGCACATGCACTCAAGTGCTAGCTCCCACTTTCTCTCTTTGGGTGGTAGTTGTATCTTGCATATAAAGCAGTATTCATGCTATCTGCCATCCGATTAGATCGTTGTATTTGTCATGATTATATTTTTATAACATTGTCTCGTATCTCAGATGATTATATTTCCATGAAAGAAATATATATGTTTCAACCATTAAAATTCTGTGCATATATGTTTCAACCATTAAAATTCTATGCATGAGTGCAAAATTGCATCGGATCGAGTCACTCTCAACCGAAATACGCAAGCATGCGTGTGTTCATCCATGTCCTTTGCCTCTAACTAGATGGATTCCACACCAGCCGTGTAGCATGTTTATTTTTTCGAATAATGTTGTCTGCACACATGTTACTCCGTCCGTCCCAAAATATAAGGAGTTTTGGTGATGTGACCTCTCCAGATTCGTAATAATAGGATGTGTCACATCCAACCAAAAACTTTTTATATTTTGAGACGGAGAGAGCATATGTTTTCAATTTAAACTTTAATGGTACTAAAACAATCGTATCCATTGGTTACATAACGGTTCACATAGTTCCTTCTTCTCCGATTAACTTGGGAGTTCTAAGAATTTTTAATTAACAAGGGAATTTCGCATCTCCATCTCCTAGATTAATGTGGAGGCTTGCAGAAAGGGCCTCCAATTAGTTCGTGATTTTTTTTTTGGCAAAGAATGCAGTAACTAAATTGAAGTTTTCAGAAACATTCAAAAGCACTCCAATTTATTTGACACCCTGAAGAGTATCATATCAAGTTTAGGAGTTGTGTTGCAATCATTCACTTAGTAACACTTTCGAGCCCCCATAAGGTTTTAGTAATGAGTTGTAAAAAAAAAGTGTATCGATGTTACGCATATCAAAAACAGAAAGGAAAGGCTTAGCAGCACAAAATGGCAAGTTACTCTTCCAGGATTAACATTGAAAGAATGCATGGAGTGTTAATCAGAATGATGTTTGCATGTGAAACTTAGTAAATTATGTACAGGCTTGGTTCTTGTGTGATGCCTTTAGTTGCATACTGCGATCTACTTATAACAAGAGAATATGTAGTTAAATTCATAACAGCTTAATGATTAATTTAGAATTTCTCTATGTCCAGACTGTTGATGGAATGTGTATATCTGTCAAGATTCCGTCCATTGCGAAAACCATTGAACTCAGTGTAAAAAAATCAGACATTGTTGCTGATGTCAAGTTGCAGATTGAACTGAAGGAAGGAATTCATCTGGATAACCAAATCCTGATGTATGCAGGTCGACATCTTGGCGATAGTCAGATTTTAAGTGAATGTGGTCTATCAGATGACCATATACTTCATGTTTTGGTTTCTCCAGCCGACAAAATGTGTGTCTATATAAACATTAGAGATACAAGAACTGTTAGGGTTGATGTCAGGAACTGGTATACTGTTGCGGATGTCAAGTTGATGGTAGAAACAATGTTTGGTTTTCCTGAGTGCTCACAGATACTCCTGCCGACTAAATCGGGAGATGCTATCGAGCTTAACGGCACTCAAACACTCAAAGATCAGAATATAAAGAACAATGCCGTCCTGATGCTGCTTCCGGATTTCCCGATCTTCATCAAAACATGGGAAGGGAGGACATTGACCATGGTGGTTAGCTCATTTCACACTGAAGAAGACATCTGGGAGAAAATTCAAAAGAAGTCCATGATTAATCCAAAAAATACTTTCTCTGTTACTATGGGCATGTTCTAAATCCTGGGGTTACGCTTCACGTGTATAAAGTTAAGAGCAATTCCACTATCAGTATCCGCCTTGGGAATTCTCATTCTCAATATGTAAAAGAGGAACAAAAGAACTAGTGAGCAGATTGGAA